CCCTACCAGGAACCCCAACTGAGGAGACATGGCCAGGCATCCTGTCCAACGAAGAGTTCAAGACATACAACTACCCCAAGTACCGAGCCGAGGCCCTTTTGAGCCATGCACCCCGGTGAGGCTGGTGGGTAGGTGGGTGTTAGGGGCCAGAGAGCCCAAACTCAGTTTAAAGCAGGTCCCTTTGTTCTTGCGGTAGACTTGACAGCGATGGGGCTGACCTCCTCACCAAGTTGCTGCAGGTGAGGCCACCTTCCTGGGCCAGCCTTGGGGGCTGGGGGATTCCAGGTGTAGGGAAACGGGGAGTTCCAGGGGTAGGGTCTGGAGTGGGGAGGATGAGAGGCCTGCTCATTGGAGGTGTCAGTATTCCACAACCCCCACCCAAACCCCCCACTCAGTTTGAAGGTCGCAATCGGATCTCCGCAGAGGACGCCATGAAACATCCATTCTTCCTCAGTCTAGGGGAGCGGATCCACAAACTTCCTGACAGTGAGTGGAACTGGGAATGACTGTGGGGAACAGGACAGCTGCAGACAGCTTGGGCAGGTTGTGTAGGTCTCTGGCTACGCCACCTCTAAGACAGTAAACCCTTGTTCACACATGTGATGTGTTGTGTTCATTGCAAAAAAGTTATTTAGTTTTCAGTTCCTTTTACTTTTCATAGAAATTTTCAAACACATAAAAATAGATGTAACATCAGTTTACCTTTTTTTGAAGTAAATATTTCCTTGTAAAATGCATACTGAGAAATGCACAGATCATAAGTATACAGCACAATGAATTTTCACAAACTAAACACAGCCATGTAACAGCATCCAGGTCAAGAACCAGGACAGGAGAAGCTCCCTCAAAGTGCCCTGTTATTTTCCTTCACTTAGTCCTGGCCCCTCCCCAAGGGTCACTGCTAGTTGGACTTCTCACTGCATAGATATTCCAACAGGTCATCAACTTGTGGCCAATCTGGTTTTATCTGAATTCTCTCTGATTATTTTGAATAAAATCCCAGACATATCATTCATCTATAAATAATTTCAGCATGTGTCTCTAAAATATTTTTTAACATAACAATATTACTATCACACTTAAAAAAATTGGCCCACTTCTCATATCTCCCCACTGGATTAATCTAAATCAAATCCCAGATACCATCCATCACCTAGACTTAACAGGTGATAATTGCAGTACCGTCATCACACTTGACAAAATTAATAATGATTTCTTAGTGTCACATAATAGTCCATATTCCACTTTTCCTAGTGTAGCTGGTTTGTATGTGGGATTATTTAACAGATGAAAGTCAAGCCTCTCAAAAGAAAAGGCAAATTTTTCTAATTCCCCCAATGGGGCCATATGGGAGGTGGTCCTACATGGCCCCATGGGTCATTCCCCACTTCTGTCTCTCCTCCACCCACAGCTACTTCCATATTTGCACTAAAGGAGATCCAGCTACAAAAGGAGGCCAACCTTCGGTCTTCGTCAATGCCTGACTCAGGTAGGTGTGACCCTCACCCTCTTCCCTGCCCTTTCCACCTACCTGCTTGCCCACCAACAGCCATCCGCTCTGCTCTCCCCCCGCAGGCAGGCCAGCTTTCCGTGTGGTGGACACCGAGTTCTAAGCTGAGTTCTAAGCCACAGACCGAGGCCCCAGCAGGCAGCAGCTGGAGGGATGCCACACCCCTCACAGGGCAGCCCCCAACTGCATCCTCCCTGCTTGCTGCCTGCCTACCTGCCTGACTCATGCTCGCCTGCCCACATGTCCCCTGCTGCCTGTCTGAACACCCGACCATTGGCCTGTCAACCCATCCATTGACCTGTCTGCTGGGTGCTAACAAAGCTCTCATCGCTCCTTCGCCTGGTCTCTGTCTGTCTGTCTGTCTGTCTCTCTCTCTGTCTCGGTAGTTGCCGCCGGACAGCATGGCCGTGCCAGCCTCCCACACTGAGGCCAGGCCTATACCCCTCCCCATCAAACCCTCCCCCAGGACCACTACCCCATGGCCAGCCAAGGGTCCGGAGCTAGCCCAGGCTGGGGATCTCGAGTCAGACAAGATGTGGCGATGCCTTGGGTCTGAGGCTTCCCCTGCCTGCTTTCCTGCCTGCCCCACCTGCCTCATGTTGTGTGGGCCTTTTTTTTTGTTTGTTTCCTTCATTGTTGTTTTTTTAATTATTTTAAATGAGGTTTTCATTTTTTAAATGCAATATCTCTGTAAACAGACTGGCTGGGCCCCACCCCCTGTGTGTGGCCCTCCCACAGTATTTTGTGCAATGAAGCCCCACTCCTAGCCTTTCTAAGGCAGGGACACAGCCCCTATTCGGAACCCTGACCATCACCAGACCCTGGGGTCAGCTAAGGGAAAGCATGCCTCGACCAGTCGCCTTCCTACCCCCGCCTGCCATCCCCAGCCGCAGGGGGAACTGGGGACTACCGGAGACTCTCTGGGAGATGGGCGAGGTGGGGTGGCCCCACTCTTTCCCTCCTGCAGTCCCATAGCTGGGGCCTTCTTCTCAGGGTCTCCCTAGCTCAGCCCTCCTGCCCCCATCCCACTTGGTGCTGTTGAGTAGCGGCCCTGCCAGGAACTGACCAACTCAGCGAGAAGCCGTAGTGTGTATATGTGCACAAGCAGGGACAAAGGGGAGCACAGGGGGTTGTGCCCAGGCATTACTCTCTAACCCCTGGGGAGGGTGAGGCAGGGCAGGGACAGTCTCTGGGGTCAGTCCCAGATGGGTGGTTACCTCCCCTTCCTCCACTCTAAACCCTGGGGCCCTCAAATGGGGTGGGAGGGCAGGGGTGGGGGCCCTCCTAGTGGGGTTTGGGGGGTTGGGTTCCTGAATGCACCATAATCGCTGTATGAAATATTAAAAAGTCTAAAGTGAAAAACCTGATTGCAAATCCCTGCAAGGGTGGGGGTGGGCTCCACCCAGGGTGAGTACTGGGACCTTGGAGAATTCATACCTGGTCCCCATTGTCTAGGAGAGCACTGGGGGTGGGCCAGGGACACATCATGACTATGAAAAAGGCATCTGAGGGGTTCTACATGGAACAGTGGAACATCAAGTTGAAGCAGATAGGGCAGGCTGAATAGAGAATGGGCTAAGAAGCAGAGAGAGGAGTTACATTTACCCAAGAACATGAGGAAGCCAGATAGAGGGTAGAGACAGGTGAGTGTAGAGAGGTTGTTTGAAAAACACTTGGAAGGCCCAATAAAACAAGGAGGTGGGGAAATGAGGCAGAGAGGCCCAGTATGACCACCACATGTCTGATCAGGACACCATAAGGCAGGCCAGCTGAAGAGGGAATATGATAGGAGGGTAGATTTCGGATCATTAGGTAGGTAGGGGAATCCTTCAATACATGGATCAAATTCAGGAATGGGGCCATCGATGGAACAGGAAGTTTGGATTATTGGTGTCTAGGAAGTAATGGGAACTATGGGCATGGGTGAGATGACCCTGGGAAGGATGCAGTGGTTTGTGAGGGCCCAGAGGTTAAATGGCATAACCTGGGACTTGGCCTCAGGTGTGAGGATAGCTGAGGCTTTAGGGTCTAGCATCATAGTAATAAAGACAATCTTTGCCTTACAGAGGTTAACTGAAAATAGAGGTAAATTATAAGATGGGTGTGGGGGGTGGTATTCTGGACACTCCAAGCCCAGGGACCTGTGTACATGGGCCTAGAGGCATGGAAAGGCAAGGTGTGTTCTTGCCTGTGGGAATGGACAAGTGACAGTGAAGGAAGTCACTGAAACAGGTCCAGAATTATGAGCCTGTCTTGGAAAATTTGTGGGATGGTCAGGTAGGGACAGTCAATAGGCAGGTAAATGCAGGGAGCCAGAGAGGGAAATATTAAAGTTACCACCAACAGGCAGGGCTGGGAATCCTAGCAGAGAAAAGGATGGCATAGCATAATGCAGGTGTTCTCAACTGGAGATAATCCCCACCACCACCACCAGGGGACGTTTGGCAATGTCTAGAGACACTTGGTTGTCCAAACTGAGCGGTTCTACTGCTATCTGGTGGGTAGAGGCCGGGATGCAGTTCAACATCCTACAGTGTTTCCCACAACAGAAATACCAAGTGTCTAGGTTGAGAAACCCTGGCCTAGTACAACAGTTCTCAAACTTTTGGCCTTCGAATCCCTGTATATTCTTAAAAATTGAGGACTTCCAAAGAGTTTTTGTTCACATTATGTAGCCCCTGGAAAATTCCACCGCACATGCAAGAGAGAATAGCAATGAAAAAGTACTGTGAAAAACTAGTTTTGACTTTGTAAACCCCTTTAGAGGGTCTCCTGAGCCGGCAGAAAGCCTAGGACCACGGTTTGAGAATCCCTGGCCTGGTGTTTAAGGTCACAGCTCTAGAACTGGAATTCCTGAGTTTGAAACATAGTTCGGCCACTTAGTAGCTGGGGCAAAGTGAATCAATGTTTCTGGTCCTCTGTTTGCCTCATTGTTGCCCATGGACAGTGATATTATCTGCTGCCTAAGGCTACTATTTACGTGCAGTAAAGCACTTAAAGAGGGCCTACTATTATTAGTTATTGCTGTAACTCCAACAAATACACAGGGCCTGGGGCTAACTTGCCTTCAACACGTTTGTCGAGAGAATAAACCTGGTTCAGGCAGGGAAGCGGCCCACAGGGCTGGGAGGCGCTTTAGAGGTGGTGACCTCTTTTGCGTTGGGTTTTGATGGATGAGAAGGGTAATGCAATGAAGGAAAGGCATTCTGGTCAGGCTAAGAAAGGGTAGGGGCCCCCAGCAGAGCATGGGTCTGAGAAGACTCAGAACTTTGTATCCCTGAGCACTCCCCAATATGTCCTCGTCCACCTCGGGGACCGCTCCCTCCACCTCACACACAACCGTCTGCCCGGACTCAACATGGCGTGAGAATCCCACAAGGCACCTTTGTCTTTCTCACTTCCCAACTGGAGGTTTTACCCTGCCTATTGGTCGCAGAGATCACCGCCCACAGCCCGATGCCCGCCTAGCCCTTCGGCGCGTCCGAGCGTAGGGTCCATTTCCAAGATGGCAGTAGCCCCCCGGCCGTTTGGGGGGCTCTGTTTCCGTTTCCGGGACCTGAATCCGGAAGTGGCCGTTGAGGGGCCTCTTCCTATCTTCAGCTGCTGCGGCTGTGAGAGGAGGGTGAACGGCCATGGCGGCAGTCGCAGCAGATCCGGCGGCTGTGGATGCGGCCGAGGACCGAGAGCCACAGCGCAAAGCCGTGCCGGGCCTGGAGAGCCAGCGGCGCCAGATCAAGAGCAGCGAGAGTGGGCGAGAGCGTCCCCTGCGGGCCGGCGAAAGCTGGTGAGGCAGGACAGCGAGCGGAGCCTCGGCTGAGGGGACGGTGGGGGCGTTGGCGCCGGGGTGGCCGTGGTCCGCAGGAGAATCGCCGTGGGGGCGGGGGAACTGGCCTGTGGGACTGAGGACGAGAGGGGCGGGGACGTGCTCAGGAGTGGATCGCCTCATCTGGGAAAGAGGCGGGGCTTGCGTGGCGGAGCTGACGCCTGAGAAAGAGATGGGGTTTGTTGTGGAGAGGCGGAGGCAGGGCCTGAGAAGAAACGGCCCCGGGGGTGGGGCCAGGCCTGTGTGGTGCAACTGGAAACCTGGGAAGGAGGCGGTCTCTGCAACAGAGGCCGGGGGCGCCGCCCCTGAGAACGAGGCTTGGCGGTGACGTCAGGCGGAGAGCGGGCTCCGAGCCTTACGGCTGTGGGCGGGGACAGGGAGCTGGCCCCTGGGAACGAGGCTTGTGACGTGGGCCGAGGGGCGTGTCCTGGGGCCAAGGGAAGACTGCAGAGGGGAGGCGGCGCCTGTGAAGCAGAAAATGGCGCCTGCGAATGAGCAAAGTTTGTGACGCGGCGAGGTTTTTGCCTCTGGCCGAGGCCTTCTTCCCTGGACGGGAGAAAGTGCAGGTGATTGGCACGGGAGGGGCCTTCGATGTTACGTTTGTTTTCTGTTTTGGTACCGTTTCGTTTTGTAATCAGGAAAAACTAGCAATTTAAAAAGATGTCAATGCGTATCTTAATAACTCGGCTTGTTTTACTGATTTCTTTGCTAACCAGTGCTTGAAATGAACTGTTTCTGGGTTCATTTTATTTCTCGCCAAGTTGCATCTCGTTTTTTAGATTGTGAAATTCGTAAGACCTAAAAAGATTATAGAAAACGTTTATGTAGTCCAGATTGATGGACATTCCATAAAAATAAACGGCCTTTGCTCTTCAAAAATTTCAAGGTCGTGAAAGACAAAGGATGAAGAACTGTTCCAGATTGAAGGAATTAATAGGATTTAAGGAATCATAACTAAATGCAACGTGTGATCCTAGATTGGATCCCGGAGCAGAAAAAGTTAATTACTTAAAAATCAGGTTTTTCTTCTCAAAATTAATTTTCTCTTTTTTACTGTAAAAGATATTAATGAGAAAATTGGTAAAATTTGACCGAGGTCTGTAGATTAGACATCAGTACTGCTAATTTCTTTTGATTGTGGTTATGAAAGAGAATATCTTTGTTTTTAGGAAATACGTGCGGAAATATTTAGGAATAAAGAACCATCATGTAAACAGCTTACTCTTCAAATACTTGAACAAATAGCATATATAAAAATGTGTTTAAAGAAACAGTGATCGAGCAAATGGGTTAAATGTTAAATTTGGGGAGTTTTGATAAAAGGCATATGGGAATTTGTTGTATTATTTTTGCAGTTTTTCTGAGTCTATTTCAAAGTAAAAAAATTAAAGAATAATAAAACAAAAATTTGTGAATTCACTGCCCAGGTTAAGATTCAGACCGTTGCCTTAGGAAATCTTTCTGTGCCCTCCCAGATGAAAATCCCCTCCCTGCGCCGCAGGAAACTGTGATCCTGAATTTTTAATTTCGTTAACGTTTTTCCGCCACTGTGTGCATCCCTAAATATTATTTGTGGTCTAAGCATTCATTTTGTGGAGGATATATATGGATGCCTACCGTGTGCCCTTCGCATCCTAATCAGGTGGTACATGGTATCCACGTGATGTCAATGGTGACGTTAGCCTTCATGTCTTCTTAGTGAAGGTGGTATCTGCCCGGTTTCTCCACTGTGGAGGTACCTGTTTCTGCACACAGTAATTCTTTTCAAAACATAATTTATGTCCATCCATTCCTCAGAACGTTTTAACAGCTTCCCATTTCCTGCAGTGTTAGTGCTAAAATTCTTAAAGTGACTTGTGAGTCTGGTCCCCGGCTGTGATTTCTTCTCAGATCCCTCTGGTTACCCTCCCCCACACTCGCTCCATCCGGCCATATTGGAGTCTTGCTGTTCCTCAAATGCCGCGAGCATGCTCTCACCTGAGGGCCTTTGGAAGTGAGGGTTGCACATTTTACAGAGTTCTTTAATCATGGTACTAGTGAAACATATATTCTTGTTACTGGAGAGACAAGTTGAGATTCCCCAATCGGGAATATGAAACCAAGCTTTTTTTTTTTTTTTTTTTTTTTTTTTACTATTACGCTATAGCTCTCCAGCAAGGAAAAGCCTCAGTCCATCCTGAGAATAAACAACAATAACCAGAACGTTTTTATAGCCGATGTGGAGATGTTCAGAAGGGCCTGGGAGCTTTGGTGCCTGCCCTGTCCTACCTTTACAGCCTTGTCATAACAATACCCTTGAAAATTACACCACCCATCCCAGGTTTCCTTTTGGGATGTTGAAAATGTTTTGGAACTAGATAGAGATTGTGGTTGCACAACGTTGTGAATGTACTAAATGCCACTGAATTGTTCACTTTTAAAATGGTTAAATTTATGTTATGTCAATGAAAAAAATTATGTTCTGTCAATAAAAGAAAATTACCCCATCAGTGTTGGTTCAGTGTTGAAGCCAGTTTCTCTCTGCTATTGTGGGTAATATCCTGAAGCATTTTTGCTTCACTCCATTTTTTTGAATGCTTATCTGTTTAAGTAAGAGCAAAGCATCTCAAGATTCTTTAATTTGTTGTCCATTTTGTAGGGGGTTTCCCGCAGTGGTCAGGAACTTTGTGTTTAGAAAGCATTTCGAAGTCATGGACAACCCTCAAATCATATACCTAGTATTAGGATTTGCGCCTTCTATCTTTTGTCAGTTGGCAGATCTCAATGAGGGTAATTAAGTAACTTGGCCATCTAAACTGATTTAAATTCTAGGAGAAGCTTATATTTTAAGAGTAAATTCAAATCTACGATAGCATAGCCTCCTTAGCAAATTTTAGTTTTTCTTTTTGAGGATGAACCAGCTACAGACAATTAAATAAGGCACAGCAGAGGGAGTTTCTAGATGGTCTGTGCAGAGTGTGGATAGTTCCCTAACAGAGGTAAGCAAGCAAGGGGTTCTTTGTTCAGGTAAAGGAAGGCAGGTGGCTGGGCTCCGTATTCCAGCAATGAGTAGTGATGTGTGAAGGGAAAGCAACGTTTCCGTGAAGGTTAAGGGCTAGCCTAGAAGCGTTGAGGGTTTTCTGCCCAGGGAGAAATCTGCAGCGTGGGAACCATTACGTTTAGTGAAGACCCTAGAACTAAGTCAACTGAAATTTTCACTTTTGTTTGGTGATCGCTTGCTCTAGCTCTTACACCAGGTAGGTATACCTTGGCTACTGGATCTAATGAAAGACTGAAATGAACAGTAGGCCTTTGATAATTCCCATGTAATTGAGTCCATACCCCTACTGCTTGTTCAGACTTTTCATGAACCAGAAGGGAAAAAGGGTTTGTGAATCTGGAATCCTAGTGGGGAATATTCTGGAAGACAGTTGCTGTACCAGTTTTTGTTGCTTGAACATGAGTATGCTCTTTAGCTTGAAAAGTAGTCAGTTATTGAAAAATATTTATATTAGCATACCTAATTATATATAATTCACTATAATTAACCTAGGAAGATAAACTTTTTGATTTGTCTTTTTTTAAAAAATGGTAAGTTTGACAAATGGAAGAGCTTTCATAAAAATTTTAAGTAAATTAAAATTTGGAGACTTTTAGATAAACCTAATTATGCCTATTGTCATTCATAGAGCAAAGGGACAAATCTTGGTATTATTTCCCAGAGATAGTTTTGGCATAAAAGAACATTTTAACAGTGTCATTATTCTGAATCTGGGAAAAACAAATCAAAAATAGTTGTTAGAAGAGACGAGATAAGAGTTGAAGTGAAGGCAAGAGATATTTATAATCAGCTTTGTAAAAACACGGTGATAAACAGATTATTAGGAGCTTAACTTTTTTAAACAAGGAATCTCTTAAAAAATGAGTTAAGATTTTTTTTTAATGAATTAAGAGGATGTCAAAAGGCACCAAGAGTTAATAATTGGGTGATCAAAAAGGAACTTCTAATCTGGGCATAAATTAATGTGGTCATTTTACAGAAAAAGACCCAAATTCTAATTTTCCTCCTTTGGTACATTATTCATGTGACAATTTACAGTAAAGGATTTATAAATATGCTTTCGTATGTATGTATTTAGGCTTATACAGGTATATAAATAATAAATTTAGTGGAACAGTGTTACTGTATATTACATTTAACATCTCAATAAACTAACAACCTTTTAATAAACAAGGATATCATATCTCTTATATCCATATTTCTATTTCTCTGTAATTATTGTACCTAGTATAATTAACCAATAATGTAAATTATTGTTATCTTAACCAGTTTTCTTCTCCGCAGACACACGATAAAACTAGAGAGCAGAAAATATTGTTTAATAGCTTTTTTCAGAAGCAGGTATTTCTTATCATTTTAACAAATTTGAGGAAGCACAAATAAACGTAAGTGCCTTTAGCAAGATCAATTGTATTTCTATACACTAGCAAGAAGAAATTAGAAAATTAAATTTTAAAAGATGCCATTTACAATAGCATCCAAAAAAATTGAATACTTAAGAGTAAGTATAACAATGTGGGTGCTTCTTGTTCAGACGATGACAGCTCTCATGACTGCCACCTGAGCTGACAGATTATGTGACATCTCGATTTTAGAGATGTTAAAGAAATCTTTAATGTCTTTGAAGAAATATGGTAGTAATATTTTGTGAAAATTTGTGTAAAATTTCAGTCTTATATGAAGCCTTTAGAAATTCAGGTTGTAGCCAGGTCCCGAGGTTTTGTTTATTGCTATAAAGAGTGATTTTAATGTTAATTTTCCTTAAAAATTTGCTTCTAAAAAAAAAGTCGGCCAGTGCCTCCCTTTTCATTGAAGGTTCCATTAATGAGAAATTAGCTTTACTGAATAAATTAACCTCAGACTGTTGGTCAATGGAAATGGAGGCAATTTTAAAGCCTTGAAGGTGGGGGTGAAGGTGCATGTGGTGGAGGGTAGGGTCAGTGATGGGAGGTCTGTGGCGTGATCTGCCAGGGCAGGGAGAGTGTCCCCAGCATGAGTAAAGTGCAGGGTCTGTGGCGGGGTCAGTGCAGCCACAAAACCCCACAGAAATGTTTGCCTATTCAGGTGACTTGTGACTATTCAAGGTTTTTCTGTCCTTCCATCCCCCCACCTCTCTGATCCTTTTACAAACAAAGGCAAGTTGCCATTTTAAAGAATCCCATTTATAGGGTTAAATTGCTGGGAAACTAACCAATACAATGTTACATATTTTTCATCAATTTTGTAACTTGTTAAAAAGTGTCTTTTTGAAGCTGTTAAGTATTTGGGATAGCCTTTTAGGTGTCAGAAACCCCATAGCAGGGCAGGTTTGCATGTGTGAGTGTGGGATGGGGATTGTGTGTCTGTGTCTGTGTGTACATGAGCTTTTGTGTCCAAGCCCTGGGATCGGAACCAGGACAGCTGATAGGCATTTAGCACTTAGTATATGTCAAGTGTTTTCCAGACGTCAGAATTTCTCATGACGTTTTACAAAGGCAGATTTCAGCAGACCTAAATGTTTATCCTAGTAGTACATATAAAAGTTTCTACTTTAAAAGAGAGCTGGTCGAGCTGAATGCTTAAAAATGATTCAAATGCTCAATTTTATGTTATGTGGTTTTTATCATCATTTTGTTTTTAAAAAGAGCTAGCTAGTCACCATAGGCTCAGAAGTTTATTATAAAGCCAGAATAAATCCTAAATAGGAAAATGGTAGAAAATGGCAATACGCAGTCTTTGAAAGAAAGCATTATGATTCTTTTAGCATTTTGAATTCTTTTCAGTGTCTGAGATTTTCAGAATTTAATAATTATTTCTTAGCTGAAGATTTTTGCCTCCATTTATACATCCTTTACAAACACTGCACACTTAATGAAAGGCTAAAGCTTTATAGTATTAGCTGCAATAACAGATATTTTGAGCCTAAGTATTGTTTATTCTATAATAAATCCTCATGTTTCCTGGCACTATGGGTGTGGGGTTTTTGTTTGGCTTTTTTTGCTATTATTGAGCACATTTTCTGTTTTTAATCAAATCTCTTTTAGTATCCTAAGAAGTTAGGTAATTTATCCAAATCTGAATCTCACTGAATACATTTTGCTTCTAATTTATTTTTATATGATGCTGAAACTTTTTTTTAATGTTGCATTCTGGGAGGAATTTCTTTTTTTATTGAAATGTAATTGCCATATAACATTGTATTAGTTTTAGGTGTATATGAAACTTGACACCTCGACTTACAATGTGTTGATACTTTTCATCTAATGACCATGGGAAGTGGTCCCACTAACCCTCAGATAACCATGCGACACCCCTGTTACCTGTCTGGTCCAGGTTCCTCGTGGAACAGCACTGGTACCAACAGTGGGAATTGTACGTGCAGGGAGGAGACCAGGACTCCAGCACCTTCCCTGGCTGCATCAACAATGCTAAACTCTTTGAAGGTACCAGGCCTCTGCCTCCTCACATCAGCCTAGCCCTCAAGTTCTTGTCCCCTCTGTCCCTACAAATGATCATAAGCCCCTTCTCTGTGCTAGGTCATTGGTGAGATGGCCAGAGTGACTCATCACTTTCCCTCCCTGATTCTTCCTCTGCCACCTCCCCCCGCCCCCCGCAGACCAGGTAAACTGGCGCCTCAAGAAGGGACTGGTGGAAGGTGAGGATTATGTGCTGCTCCCAGAGGCTGCTTGGCATTACCTGGTCAGCTGGTATGGTCTAGAGCATGGCCAGCCGCCAATTGAGCGCAAGGTATATTGGGTGGGGAGGGTGCTGGGGAGTGGGGTAGGAGGAGGGCCTTGTGGGCCCAGGATGGGTCGAGACCCACGTGTATATCTGTCTCTATGTACGCTGTGTATATACACCTGTGTTTACGCTCCTCTCTCCTCATAGGTCATTATACAGGTGTCTTGGTCTGTCCGCATGTGTGTGCTCCCCTTACAGATCCTTGTACATGTGTCTGTACACCATGTGTGTTCACTCCTCTGATCTCAGGTGGTTGTGCCTTCATCTTTGTGTATATGCTGTGTGGGTACACCTGCGTATGCGCCCTTCCAGGTCGTGGAGCTGCTCAGTATCCAGGAGGTCGAGGTGTACCCAGTAGAACTGCTGCTTGTCCAGCACAGTGATATGGACACACCTTGCACTGCTCAATTCAGCCACACAGATTCTGTTGGTGAGTCTAAGGGTCACAGAATGAGTTGGCGTCCCAGCCACGGTCACAGCGAGGTGACCTAAGAATGCACGAGGTTAGGCTATGGTAGACTGAGAAGGCACTGGTCAGACTGGAGGACCAAGAAGGTCTTGGTCAAGCTGGGCAGAGGCCCTGAGGGGGTCCCGTAGAGTCCCTAGGGTATGTGAGCTGCATTCCAGTGGCTTAGCTGGTGTGGCAGAGGATATTTGCTGGAGGTCTCAAGTCCTGAGTGCAGATCAGTCATTTCGAGATTGATCAGGGACACAAGGTGTTGACCAAGAGTGCACGGTCTATGGGGATGAGTCAGGGGTCTGATGCTAACATGTCAGTCATTCAGGGTCCCAGGAAAACCTTGAATGTGCTCCATCACCCTGCACAGACCTAGTTTTGCGTACCGCTCGAGAGCAGTTTCTGGTGAGCCCCCAGGAAGAGACACGACTGTGGGTCAAGAACGCAGAGGGCTCTTTTGAGAGGTTGTGCAACACACGTGTCACAGTGCTCGACGCCGCCCTCAAGACTGGGCAGGTGAGGTGGCGGGGGGGGGGGAGCTTTTCTGCTCACTGGCTGTGCTCAGTGTGGGGAAAGTGAGGGCTCAGCACCCAGGGGACCTCCATAAAGGCCTTTCCTGCTTTTCTTTCTCTTCTTCCAACCCAGCTGGTTGTCATGGAGACCCGAAACAAGGATGGCACTTGGCCCAGCGCACAGCCGCATACCACGTAAGCTGTTAGGGAGTCTGGTCCAGAGTGGGGTCCCACAGTCGGCACAGCCACTGAGCCCGCGAGCACATTTCACCCGCATATAGTAGGCCCTCAGCTGATCGAGTTTCTCATCCACCCCAGGAAAAGTGCATCAGAGGATGAGAACTTCCAGGGCCAGCCAGGCATCTGTGGTCTCACCAACCTGGGCAACACGTGCTTCATGAACTCGGCCCTGCAGGTTGGGCCATTAGGGCTATGTGTGGCACAGCCATAGGGATGGGCTTCAAGCGATGGGGATTGGGTACAGAGCTGGGGGGTTCTGCAGGGCATGGGGTCAGGTTGGAAGCTAGGGCCCCACAAGTCTGACTTGACACTCCCCCGGTCCTTCCTGAAACGTCTGTACTTTCTCCTCCGCTTGCCTCCTGCTTTCCCTTTTCTTCTGTCCTTTGTCACCACATTCTTCCTTCTCCTGAAATGCTGCTGTACTCTCTCCCCCATCCTGCTGCTCCTTCTCCCTTTCTTCCCCCTTCTTCCTCATTTCCTTTTCTCTGTCCTCACCTTGGTTGCCCTTCCTCCTCTTCTCTGTCTCATTCACCTGCCCCTACAGTGCCTCAGCAATGTGCCACAGCTCACTGAGTACTTCCTCAAAAACCGCTACCTGGAGGAGCTCAACTTCTGCAACCCACTGGGCATGAAGGGTGAGATTGCAGAGGCCTATGCAGACCTGGTGAAGCAGGCGTGGTCTGGCCACCACCGCTCCATCGTGCCCCATGTGTTCAAGGTGTGACTCAGCCCTGGGCTGCCCCCTACCCTGTCCCTGACTTCTCTTGACTCTCCTAACTCCCTCTTGCTCTCACGGCCCTGCCCATCTTCTCAGACCAAGGTCGGCCACTTTGCGTCCCAGTTTCTGGGCTACCAGCAGCATGACTCACAGGAACTGCTGTCGTTCCTCCTGGATGGGCTGCATGAGGACCTCAATCGTGTCAAAAAGAAGGAATATGTGGAGCTATGCGATGCGGCTGGGCGACCAGATCAGGTAGGTGCTCCTGAAAGACCTCTTTCCTGAGAGCCCCTTTAAAGTCACTCGGGCCTCTGCCTCAGGGATTACCTGACCTCAACTGCAACCTCAGTCCCAGCCTTGGCTCCAATACCACATCTGCCCCTACACCCAACCCAGAGTGAACCCCCACCCGGTCTCCCCAGAACAAACCCCAACCCTGCGTGAACCCAGATTCCAGATAGCCGCAGCTATGACTCTATCTCTGGACTTTACCAGTGGCCACAACCTTAACTTTAACCCCGTGTGCATCCACTCTGAACCATGGTTTCTCCCTGCCCTGGGCAAGCCCTGCCACCCACCATGACACTGTCAACAGGAGGTCGCTCAGGAGGCCTGGCAGAACCACAAACGGCGGAACGATTCTGTGATCGTGGACACTTTTCATGGCCTCTTCAAGTCCACGCTGGTATGCCCTGATTGTGGTAACGTGTCTGTGACCTTTGACCCCTTCTGCTACCTCAGCGTCCCACTGCCTGTCAGCCACAAGAGGGTCATGGAGGTCTTCTTTGTCTCCATGGACCCCCGCCGCAAGCCAGAGCAGGTATGAGGGGAATGGGGATGTGAGGACGGAATGAGGGACGTGTAGTCAGAGTTTATTTGACTATTCTGCCATACCTCAAGGTTTCCTACGCTAACTCACCACACACCCTTCTGCTCTTTTGTGCATACTGTTTCTCCCTCAGCACCGGCTAGTGGTCCCCAAGAAAGGCAAGATCTCGGATCTGTGTGTGGCTCTGGCCAAACACACTGGTGTCTCGCCAGAAAGGGTGAGGCTCTGCAGATGGAGGGAGGATGGGATTTAGGGGCAGGGAGGCAGAAGGGCCTAGGAAGACCTTGCAGACTGACCAGCCCCCTCTCGGCATCCCGTTCCCAGATGATGGTGGCTGATGTCTTCAGTCACCGCTTTTATAAGATCTACCAGCTGGAAGAGTCTCTGAGCAGCATCTTGGATCGAGATGATATCTTCATGTGAGTGAGGGGACCAGGGGAGATGGGGCTTCCTCAGGAACCTCCTCCACGTAACCACCTTCCCTCTCCCCTTCTCGGCCTGGCTGACAGGGCGCCTGCCCTGCACAGGGCTTCAGCCGTGTGCCTTAGGAGGGCAGGGGCCTTGGGGCTGACAGTGGGGCGCGGCAACAGATCCTCGTACAGGGCATCCTTGTGGGTTTGTTTTCTTGTCATGTGAGGGAGGCTCCTGTTTCTTCTTTATTTTATTCAGCACTTACTGAGCACTTTCTGTGTACTAGACGCTGACCTGCACTCCTTACTCATTGCCGTCCTCAAAAACTAAAAGTGGTCTTTGAAATAGGGAACACTAAGGCACTTTCTGAGCATAAGCATTCAGAACAAATTTTAAATCTTTAGGTAACTAGAATAGAAAGTGCTTCATGAGTAGAAAAGATCTTTGTAAACCAAACAGTGTTTTCCAAAAAGAAAATGGTTTTAAATCCTTTTGTTACTAAAACTTTTTAGCCCCCTCAGCACTCCGATAACACCAAAGTGCTTTATGAAACCTCACATAAACAAAGTGCTGTGTAAATCATTGAACACTTTACAAAGCACAAAACACTAGGTGACTTAGGTGACTCTTCAGACCCTTTTAAAAATATTTTCAGGCTGTGAGGGGTGAGTGGATGGAGCAACTACGGCAGAGTTCCCGAGTCCCCCTTGGGTGTTCTGATCAGGCGTGACCTCGTGTCCACTCCCCACAGATATGAGGTGTCGGGCAGGTCTGCTATCGGTGAGAACTCCAGAGAGGATGTTGTCCTTCCTATCTACCTGCGGGAGCGCACCCCAGCCCGGGACTACAACAACTCCTACTATGGCCTGATGCTCTTTGGGCACCCGCTCCTGGTGTCTGTGCCCCGGGACCGGCTCTCCTGGGATGCCCTATATCACATCCTCCTGTACCGCCTCTCGTGAGTCTGTCCTTTCGGGGGCGGGGCGGAGATGGGGTTGAACTTAGACTTGGGTGTCTGGTTGCTTAGTTGCCACCTCCCTTCCATGTCCACAAGACAGCTCAAACGTCACGTGGCCAGAGAGGAGCTTGTAGGTTTTTTTTTTCTTTCTCTAAACCTCTGGCTTCGCTGCTGCTTCTCCTAGGTGTTGGGGAAACAGAGGTGAACAAAACAGACAAAATATGGGCAACTTCATCTTGTACTTAACTGTGTCCTCCTCAGAGAGACTTGGTGATTTGTGTTTTTACCGATAGATTTTCACGGTGCTTAAAATCCGGAGTCCTTACCGAGGCAAATAGGGCAGTGCGCTCTCTGGCTTGACGTCTCCCTCCTGGTGCACTTACAAGTCTGCTCCCTGGAGGCCTTTCCTGACTGGAATTTACGGCTGACGTGCGTCTGTGTACCAGGGGCTTATCATACTTAAGATTGGCGCTCCTTAATTATGGTACACAAGGTCCTACGTTGTCAGGCCATCTCTTCATGCGTTTCTGTGTCATCTCCTGAGACCTTCAGGGCTCGTCGTTAACAACTGTGTCTGTGTGGGTTTACCAGTGGCTTCCCATCATAAGCACAGTAGAATCCCGGGCTCTGTCCCTCCCTCCTCTTGTGCCCCTCCTCAAGAGTCCTGTGCTGTCTCCACAGACGCTATGTGACCAGACCTAGCTCAGATGACGAGGATGATGGGGATGAGAAAGGTGAGGAAGAGGAAGGATGAGAGTCTGTATAAGCAGTCACATGGCCTGAGGGAGGGTCAGAGGGTCTGGGGTAGGTCTGACCCACCCAGGTCCACCACAGCTCAGCCCCCTGGGGCTCACACAGACCCGTCTCTGACATCTTCCCCTGTCTTCGCAGACCTGGAGGATAAGGACAACATCCCCAAGCCTGGACACGTGGCTGGGGGCAGCTCCCAAGACCCTGGGCCCGAGCAGGCTGGGCCCAGCTCTGGAGTTGCAGGCGGGAGCCGGGCCCCCGTGGACAACTCCGCTGGACCATCTCACTGGCCCCAGAGGGCACGGCGCAAGCACCTGTTTACCCTGCAGACAGTGAATTCCAACGGGACCAGCGACCGCTCGACTTTCAACGAGGATACCCATGGTGTCTCCTTCAGCTGTGAGCCAGGGTTGGGGAGGCGGGAGGGGGGTTTCCTTGGCAGCAGGGCCCATGACCACCTCCCCTCGCCCCCAGCCCAGCCGTACATTGCCATCGACTGGGAACCAGAGATGAAGAAGCGTTACTATGACGAGGTGGAGGCTGAGGTAAACGAGATCCCAGGGATGGGGGGCACTTTTCAGCTTGCGCCCGTTTAGCTCTTCACACATCCCTTCCCGAACTCCTCCAAGCCGTGACCACAGAGCTCCCAGGGCCTCAGATTCCTAACTTCAAAGTCCATGCTCTCAACCACTTGGTGTGTCTCTTCCCCCACTCCCTTTGATCCACCTGTCCTCATATCTGGCTGTCCCCTACCCCGACCTAGGGTTATGTGAAGCATGACTGCGTTGGGTATGTGCTAAAGAAGGCTCCGGTGCGGCTGCAGGAGTGCATTGAGCTCTTCACCACTGTTGAAACCCTGGAGAAGGAAAACCCCTGGTGAGGGACCAGAATGGGGCCTCTAGGGGTGTAGTTGAGTGGGACCACCCATCCAGATCCCTGTTACCTCTAAATACACCCACACTCATTCAGATCCTTCCTGCCACTGGCCACCGGCGTTCCAAGCCTATTGCCACCTCAGAGCCTTTGCCTAGGCTATTCCTTCTCCCTGGAGCGCACTTCCTCCAGTTACCTACAGGACAGAACTCCATGTTGCTCAGGTCTCCCATCAAATGTCACCTTATCAGAGAGACCTTCTCTTACTGGCCTGTTAAAAGCCACCCCTCCCCCAGCCATCACCTCTCCATTCCCTCTTTACTCCTTAGCTGAGCATTACTTTCTAACTCAGTGACACCACTGGATGTCATGTCCTAGGTCCTCTTTTGCGTCATCATTCGTCTTCTCTGTTAGAGTAAACCCCTTGAGGGTGAAGACTTTTCAGTTCACTGTGTCTCTTCTCACTGATCATAATGGTGTGGGGTGTGCAGTAGATGCTCAATAGATCCTTTCAGAATAAGCAAATAAAATAGGAAGAGAGAGCCAAAAAGATAAAGCCAGTCTCAAAAATAAGAGCAGCGTCTCCATGGAGCAGAAGGGGAGAAGAAATAACAAGTAGTGCCCGAGGACTCAGCAATAGGCAGGCAGTAAATACTTGATGAGCGTGTGAATGACAGTGAATCAAACTGGAAGAGAGAAAACTAGAGGGCTAGAGGCAGGCTCTAAAATAAGATTAGCATCTCATGAACCACAAACCAAAAGTACAGAGTAGTGCAGAAGCTGATACAAAAGACAATCGGTAAGTCCTTGGTGAATGAATGACAGGATTTTCCTATGTGAAGAGAGCAAACTAGAGTAACAGGAGGTAGAAGTAAGAGCAGTGTCTGTGGACCCGGCGTGGCCGGGGAAGGCGGCACAGTGCAGAGCATACGGTAGGCGCTCAGAAAGTGTGTAGTGACTCAAGCTCTGTCTGTAGGTACTGCCCCTCCTGCAAGCAGCACCAGCTGGCCACCAAGAAGCTGGACCTCTGGATGCTGCCTGAGACACTCATCATCCACCTGAAGCGCTTCTCCTACACCAAGTTCTCCCGCGAGAAGCTGGACACCCTTGTGGAGTTTCCGATCCGGTCTGGGGCAGGAGGAGGATGGCTGGGCGGGAAGCAGGGAGTGGGGAGGGGTGCGCCAGTGTTAACCTTCTCCCCACCCACAGAGACCTGGATTTCTCTGAGTTTGTCATCAAGCCGCAGAACGAGTCGGCCCCAGAGCTGTACAAATATGATCTCATCGCCGTTTCCAACCACTATGGGGGCCTGCGTGATGGACACTGTATGTGCCAGGCTGTGGCAGGGGCATGCCCCAGGGGCTCAGGCTATCTAGTGGGTGACTGGATACGGGAGTCAGTGGCGAGGTCATCAGGGTGGGAGGAGTGAGAGAGTGAACTTGGACACCTCTCGGGGCCAGGAGGGTGAGTAAGGACAGCTCCCCCTTTCTTACAGACACGACGTTTGCCTGCAACAAGGACAGTGGCCAGTGGCACTACTTTGATGACAGCAGCGTCTCGCCTGTGACTGAGAATCAGATTGAGGTATGACTTCCGTCCTCCCTTCTCCCCTTCCCCTGGCCGCCCCCCCCCCCCCCCAATTCACACTGAGCCCTGTCCTCTCCCCACAGTCCAAGGCAGCCTATGTCCTCTTCTACCAACGTCAGGACGTGGCGCGTCGCCTGCAACCCCAGCCTGCCTCATCTGACCCCCCAGCATCCCTGGGCTCCAGTTCCCCACCCAACTCTGAGTTCATGGATGTAAACTGACAGGCCCTGGCTCCGCCACAGGGAAGGACGCCATCTCTGCTCTCTTCTACCCCGTATCCATCCCCATCCTCTTACCTCTGTTAGGTTCCCCGTGCCAGGCATCACAGGCTTAGTTGTGGCTACTGTTCTCCTGTGCCGCTATATTGCTCTCTCCCAGAGAAGACGACGTCGTGTCTCCTCCCAGCAGTGTGTTCCCCGCCTGTGTTTGCCCCTTAGAGCTTTCACCTTCCCTTCTCTTCTCTATTTATGGTTGTCCCTGTCCCTCCGTCCTCATCTTGGGGTGTTCTGAGCCGGGTGTGGTGGGTGCACCTGAACACAGAGTGTATTTTCTTATCAAGACCTGTACCTTCCACTCTGTATATATAAAGTGCCAGTGTGTTCCTCGATCGTGTGGGGTGTGTTTTCACGTACTAAGCACCAGTTTTATGCCTGCCTGTGTGCTTATTGAATGCTAAGTGTGTGATGGATGCTGCTCTGAGTGCTTATTGAGCGCCACCTGTTTGTCAAGTGCCATTATAAGGATTTTTGAAGCACCATCTGTGCGCCAGACTCAATTCCCAGCACCAACTGTCTGCCCACTGTTTTCCAAGGCATTTCACACACATTGATTCATAATCCTCACAACAGTCTCATGTAGGAGTTGTCGTCTCCAGTTTCAGTTGGGGAAACTGAGGTACAGAGGTCAAGTAATTGCTCAAGTTCTGTCAGAAGGTCAGCACACCTCATCACTTACACTGGTGTTGGTCTCAGGAGGGGGCGTTTGACCTCTCTGGACCCCAGACGGAAGTCTTTCTGTGGACATGACCTGCCCTATAGCTGATGTGGAAAAAGTGCCCCTGGAACAGATAGACATCCATGTGGGCAAATCTCTAATTTCTGGACGTAAAGATGCTGAGCAGACCACTTCACAGGCCCCTAGTAGTGTCCTCCGGGGAGAACTGCTGCAGAGATGGTACACTTGGCCCAAACCAGCCAACCTGACAGCACAAATGTGCTGTGTCTGTGTTGCCCTTCTACTTAGCTGCCTCCTCCGCATCCCACCATGACCCTAGCTCCCCCACGGGGCAGGGTCCCTCCAGCTTCATCCCAGAGAAGAGCAAGATGGAGCCCCTACCACAGAATGGCTACAGTAGAGTGCATCTGAGTATAAGATGCCTTTTAAGCACTGAACATCCCCCACCTGACCCCTTCCATGGGCACCAACTATCGCCTCTGAGAAGCAGGGCTCCTGGGGGAGCAGCTGTGGGGTGGAGTAGACTGGACAAATGGGTGGTGTCTGGACATAAACAAGCCTCCCAACTTTTCACACTATGGGAGGGAACCCTGATCTGTGACAGTTGAGGGACCGTTGTCACAGTAAGGGCCTCAACAGTCCCCCAGCCTGCTGCCTTTGCACCGGACCTGGTGAGACCCCCTCTGAGGGTCACTCAGGCCCAGCCTTACCACCCACAAACCTCCCAGTCGCACCAGTGATGGGCAAGAATCAAGGTAGTTGGTGTGAGGAACTCAGCTCAAACTTGACTTAAGCAAAAATAACCGAAATACTAGTTTCCGTTATGACTGGATGCAGGAACTCAAAAGCTGTTGTTTAATCCTCATGAAGACCATGTGATTTAAGCACTATCACTCCCTTTTGCAGGTGAGGAAGCAGGCAGCAAGAGCTGGTTCAGAATAGGCTTTAAGTACAGGAAGACCTCATTACCTATGGCTGATCAGTCCTGGACAGAGCCTTCCAAAAGTGAATCCATGTAAAGTACGGCGATATTGTGATTTGTAAGAAACAGGTATTTGGTCATTCAGATGACCAAAATGTACTTATATATATGTAATTTTCATCTGTAGTTCCTGGCTCACAGCTCCCAAAACCCTTGGAATTTCCTGAGTGATAAGAGCAATGGGAACATCTGTCATAATATTTGGTCTTCTGTTCCTCACTTCCTAAAAATGTTTCAGGGCCATTTAGACCCCATGCAAGGGTGGGGGATGGTTGCCAGGAGAACCAGCCATGTGAGCAGAGGATTGGAACTTTCAGTCCTACCCCCTGATTTCTGGGGAGGGAAGTGGGGCTTGGCGTTGAGTCAATTGCCAGTGGCCATTAGTGACTTAGTCAGTTATGACTATGTAATGAAGCCTCCTTAAAAAACCAAAAGGACAGCTCCTTGCCCTTTTCAGAGAGCTTCCACGTGCCACGAGCTCTACAAAGACAGAAGCTCCTTTGTTTGGGACCTCATGCTATGTATCTCTTCATCTAGCTGTTGATTCTCAGCCTTTGTAATAAATTGGTAGTCTAGTGAGTAAACGGGTTTTCTTGAGTTCTAGCAAATTAATCAAACCCGAGGAGGGGGTCATGGGAACCTCTGATTCATGGCCAGTCTGTCAGAAATACAGATAATAACCTGGGCTTGCAATTGGCATCCTGAGGGGGTGGTCGTTGGAACCTCCAGTTTGTAGCTGGTGGGTCAGAAGCATAAGTAACAACCTGGGCTTGAGACTGGCGTCTGTAGTGGAGGGTGATCTTGTAGGACTGAGCCCTTTACCTGTGGAATCTGGTTCTGTCTCTGGCTAGATAGTGTCAGAATTGAGTTGAATTCTTGGACACCCTGTTGGGGGTCTGAGAACTGCTTGTTGGTGTCGAGAAGCCTCCAGGTACACAGGTTGGAATTGCGTCCGGGAACCCTTTGCAAGTAACTCCTCCCCACACACACAAATGAAGTAACTTCCCTGATTTAATCAAAGACATCTTGAAAAGACAGCATACGTAAGAATCAGGAAAAATAACAGAGAACAGTTACACAGAGACTCCTTATATTAAAATTCTCAGACATTGGGGCCAAGTCCGTGGCCCAGTGGTTAAGTTCGCACGCTCTGCTTCAGCAGCCCAGGGTTTCGCTGGTTCCAATCCTGGGCGTGGACATGGCACCACTCATCAGGCCACGCTGAGGTGGCGTCCCACATGCCACAACTAGAAGGAGCCACAACTAAAATATGCAACTATGTACTGCGGGGATTTGGGGAGAAAAAGCAGACAAAAAAAGTTCTCAAACATCAATGTAAAACATTTATGCTCACTCTGATCATGGAAATAAAAATGATTACAAGTGAACAAGAAATTTAAAACTTTCAAAAATGAAAATGGGATGAAAAGGAACCAGTTAGAAGTGATAGGCCTGGAATAGATAACGAAATTTAAGAAGTCAATGACTGAGTTTAACACCACATTAGACATAGCTGAGGAGGGAATTTGTGAATTGGATATGAGTTAAAGTGTACTGAAGAATGCATCTTCTGGAAGATTTTAAGTTAGACTAATACTATATGTTGATAAATTAAGAGTATCAAACTAAAGAATTGAAAAGGTACAAATTTCAAACAACTAGAAGGAGAGAAATAGAGTGACGAATAATCAATCCAGAAGGCAGGAAGAAAGGAATGCTGAACAGAGTGGATGGATAGAGAGCTCACACACAATCATTTGCAAATAATGTCTCCTTTGGCTCCTTGGTTCAAGGGAGAGAACTGGAAACTGGGCTGCCGGTCGGTGACTGCCACTGTGCCAGGGAGGGGGTGGAGTGAGGGCGAGGAAGAATGCCTCAAAACTTTCCTACAACTTGAAGATGGCTTTTTCTTCTCCCCTCCCCCCTGGGGACCAAAGCTTTATTTCAAAATAATTTTTCCCTGCTTTATTGAGGTGTAATTGACAAAATTGTAATATATTTAAAGTGTAGAACATGATGACTTGATATATGTATACATTGTGAAATTATTACCACAATCAGCTTAACTAACACATCCATCACTTCACATAGTTACATTGTTTTGTTTTGTCTTGTTTTTGGTGAGAACACTTACAATTTACTTTCTTAGTAAATTTTAAGTATACAATACTGTACCTTAACCATAGTCACCATGTTACACATTAGATCCTCAGACCTTGTTCATCCTCTAACTGGAAGTCTGTGCCCTTTTACCAACCTCTCCCCATTTCCCCCACCCCCCAGCCCTTGGTAACCACCATTCTACTCTATTTCTCTGAGTTTGGCTTTTTTAGATTCCACATGTAAATGAGATCACACAATATTTGTCTTTCTCTTTCTGACTTATTTCACTCAGCATAATGCCCTCAAGGGCCATCACGTTGTTGCGAATGGCAGGCTTTCATATTTCTCGCAGCTGAAGCACATTCCTTTGTGTGCATATACCACATCTGCTCCATCCGTCCATCCGTTGTCAGACTCTTAGGTTGTTTCCGTGTCTCAGCTGTTGTGAAGAACGCCGCAGCGATGGTGGGAGTGCAGACGTCTCTGCAGTAGAGCGAGTTGATTCCCTTTGGATGCATACCCAGAAGCGGGGCTGCTGAATCGTGTGGTGGCTCTAGTTTTAGGTTTCTGACGACCCTCCATACTGTTTTCCATAGTTTCTGCACCAGATTACATTCTTACCAACAGTGCCCAAGAGTTCACTTTCAGGCCAAGGATTTTGAGAAATAGAGGTTCTCCACTCTCTCATCTTCTGGAAGATGGCATTTTTTTTCATTGGACGCTTGCTCCATTGCTGTAAAGCTCTGACTGTTTTCTAGAGCTCTTACACAGTTGGTTCTGACAATTCTGCTTGGGTTTTTTTGATGTTTCTGTTGGGGAATGAGAGCTTAGAGCTTCTAGTCTGCAATTTCACTGATGTCACTCCCCTTGTGCATTACGTTTTAAGTGTGTTTCTTTTTTTTTTAGACTGGCACCTGAGCTAACAACTGTTGCCAATCTTTTTTTTTCTGCTTTTTCTCCCCAAATTCCACCAGTACATAGTTGTATATTTTAGTTGTGGGTCCTAGTTGTGGCGTATAGGATGCCGCCTCAGCATGGCCTGATGAGTGGTGCCATGTCTGCACCCAGAATCCGAACCGGTGAAACCCTGGGCCGCCGAAGCAGAGCAGGTGAACTTAACCACTCTGCCATGGGAACGGCCCCTTCAGTGTGTTTCTTAACACACTTAGGTAACGTGTAGTTGCATCTTTTTATATAATCGAATCTGATGATATCTGTTTTAATTGGGGTGCCTAGATCATTTAGTGGACGTGATTATTGATCTATTTAAGTTTGAATCTTTCATCTAGCTATTTGTTTGCTCTTTGTTCTATGCCCCCTTTTCCTTCTTTTTCTGCTTTATTTTGGATTAACTATTTTTTTATGATTCCACTTTATCTCTTTTGTTGGCTTATTAGCTATAACTTTTGGTTTTATTTACCTCTTTAGGGTTTATAGTATACGCCTTTAACTTATCAAAGTCTACCTTCAAGCGACGTATACCACTTCACATATAGTATAAGCAGTTTAGTGTGCTTCCATTTCTCCCTGTTCAGCCTTTATGCTGTTGTTATTGTACATTTGACTTT